TGGCACTGTATCCGCCGGATCATGACCACACTACTTCACAAAAGAAGCAATAGAAGCCGCTCCCTGAAAGAGCAAAAAGAACAAATCTACTATTTAGTAGGTCTCGTTCGTTATCGAAATTAACCATACAAATCACTCCCCCAACTAGGAACGTCCATGCACCACCATCCATTGTTGATCCAAGCTGTAGCACGGAAAGATCGGTTCGAGTAATCGATGACAGCCTATAAGCAATCGTGGAGCCAACTACAGAGGACTGAAGAAAACAGAAGGATGTCTTAAATAATACACCAACTTTAATCATATTGGCGACTGAGATAGATAACGGTGATCATAGAAATTCGATTGCTGTTCACTTTGCATTGTTAACTATGTAATAAACTTAAATAGAAACCAGTTATACTAGCAAGATTATAGTAATTTAAATACAGGATGTTTATCCCATCACCATGGAGACGGCGATATTAATAACACAACCTGATTGGCTGAATTTGTACAATCAAATTAGCATAAATCAATGACCTGATCATTACTTAATCTACAGGACATATGCAGTCTATTTTATGTCGCAAACAAGCCATGATCGGAAGCCTAAACCAAAACCTCACAATGCAAACATCTTGTTTAATTTTATAATATGAGGTAATTACTTTCTAAAACAAGAACGAGATAGTTGGTAAAGTCAAAAGGATTAGAAAAAGTCGTTTCCCTTTCTATCTGCACAGTATCGAAGGTATTAGATGGTTGGAGTTAATCGACCACAGGAAGCCTTGACTGACCTAGGTTTCGTGCTAGTTGGCACTTACAAGTCAGAAAGGCGTATCTGCAAACTGGAAGGAACTCATGTTTCATTCCTCTGAGATTCGAGCCCGCGATACCTATCGCAGATACGCCTCGCTGACTGGCGAGGGCCAACTAGCACAAAACCTAGGTCCAAGGCTTCCTGTGGCCGATTGCCTCCAACTATTTAATATCATCAAATGAATGCGCACCGTGATGGCGAGCCACCTAATGGCATGCTGGCCACATTGTAAACCTAACTGATAGAATTTAGTCTACACCAAAGAAGGGACTAGACACATTGCACTAGTTACGAGTGTCCAATCAAGGTATTGAAGGTCTCGGCTTTAGGCAGCACGGATGGTAATGTCAGACGTAATCAGTCGCTCTTCATCCTAAAATTTATATGGAGATCTATAGCACTTATCGCCACAAGCAAAAATATGCAAACTTTTAAAAACTAATGTCAGGTTAGTCTGTGATTTCACATGGCTCACAGAGCTGACATTTGCACCACGTAAAACATTTCAATTAGCCGGCTTCTGAATTCTATCAACGTCTCTCACTAATGAACATCATATGACAGGATGGAAAAGCATGAGTAACAGGCAATTACCGCAGAGAATCAATGATGGACCGATAACCTAATATATATATATATATATATATACAAAAAGAATTGGAGTCCAGCTGAACATACTTTGAGAGGGGGAGGACGACCACTGAGTGACATAATGCGCCTTACAGTCGAATGGCACCTCACTGAGAAGTGATATGTTAGGTACTGGAGAGTGAAATAGAGGAGACCATTTCTGGGCGGGGGGAGGGAATGAAAGGTTGCAGGAAGATGTAGAGTGATCTGAGAGTGACAGCATAGAAAAGACTGCAACAGAGATGGTCTGCTCAGAATTCAACGAACAAATATCAGTGTTAATTACTACCACCTATGACATTCATTTGGAAAGGTAAAACAGGACGACGGTGCGTAATCTTTCGGAATCCAATGTACTGTCAGTCTGCTTAGGTAACTAGTCGAAATTCACAATGAAGTTTGTCGAGCACACTTCTGGTGAACTCGTTAGAATACACCATTTTCATAAACATATTTCAGTGCGAAAATTAATTAATGGAGTTTACATTATCCTACAGAAACTTTAAAATGTTACAGTGGTCATTTACTGGAATGAAACGGCCGATCTAATTAAGAATCACCTGCCACTATCCAAACACCGCATAAAAACGTGTCAGCCATTATTATTATTATTATTATTATTATTATTGTTACTTTAGGTTCCAAATGGAACGTAAGGTTTCAGAAGCACATCTCAGTCTCACTCTTATTACTTCAGTGATTTTTTACTTCGCTCTACGATTCCCTCAGTGCTACACTCGGAATCACGCCCTACTTGTCATATCCCATTCAACTTACACGCAAGGGCCCGCTTCGTGTGTGGTATCATTTGACGGTCTCCACAACGCCAACTCGATCAATCTGCATTCCCTTCTGCACAGTGCCGTCAGAATTTCTTGCCGCTTATTCTTCCTAGCCTACTGACCATCTGATCTTGAGTATGGCACCAGAGAAGAGAGCTGTAAGGCCGCAGTAGTCTGTTAACAATTCTTCCAATCACATGTCAATTCTCTAACTAGGTGAGGTGTGACTTCAGTTCTCCGTGATGACTTAATCTGTCACTTTTCTAATTTCACAAATCATGAGACAATGCAAAACCAATAAAAACACCACCAAAAAATAAAACCATTACCCCCCAATAGGATTGTATTTCTGTCGTTTTTGTTAATTTTCAACATAAAAAATACAATTTACTATTGGTATTCACTTATTTGAAAGTGTGTGTGTGTATTTGTGTATTATCTTGTGCAAATGTGTTCACATTTTTTTAAGCTCAATAAAGGTTATTCGTAAAGCTTATCCTTCTTATCATTTGACCTTTAACCTTGCACAAACCTTTTCAAACAATTATTTATATGAATTTATGCTTGTTATTAACCTGCTTGTAACACTGTATTTTTAATTGTTTTAAATGAACCGCCAGCTGAACACTGTGCATTCAAACATTAATCTATTCGTTCATGCTTTTATTGAATATTGAATTTTTCTGAGGCGGATTGTTTAAATATGAACTTTAAATTTCATTTACATGAAACTGTAATAATATAAAAGGAGTATTGATTGATGATATGTGAAGGTCCCCAATGTAATAACAATCTTCTGAGTATAATTATGAGTGATATTTGTAGTAGTGATAATAATATTAATAGTAATAGCAATAGCAACACCTGTTAAGATAACGCCGATGGCATCATTCATTTTACACTTGATGGGTAAGCAGTATAACATACACCTGACCATTCAAACGTCTTTTTTAAAATATCATAGAATCAATCAACTGGCAGTATCACTCATGGGGAATTTGGTTCTTTTTCCTCAGGAACTACTGCTGGTTCTGATGCCTAACAAAAAAATATTAAGAAATATTAGTTAGAATCAATACCAGAAAATACATTCACCATCGTAAAACATATTACACTTCAAATAACACAAACAATAATAAGAGGTAGTTAGTTAGTTAGTTAGTTAGTTAGTTAGTTAGTTAGTTGGTTAGTTAGTTAGTTAGTTAGTTAGTTAGTTAGTTAGTTAGTTAGTTAGTTAGTTAGTTAGTTAGTTAGTTAGTTAGTTAGTTAGTTAGTTAGTTAGTTAGTTAGTTAGTTAGTTAGTTAGTTAGTTAGTTAGTTAGTTAGTTAGTTAGTTAGTTAGTTAGTTAGTTAGTTAGTTAGTTAGTTAGTTAGTTAGTTAGTTAGTTAGTTAGTTAGTTAGTTAGTTAGTTAGTTAGTTAGTTAGTTAGTTAGTTAGTTAGTTAGTTAGTTAGTTAGTTAGTTAGTTAGTTAGTTAGTTAGTTAGTTAGTTAGTTAGTTAGTTAGTTAGTTAGTTAGTTAGTTAGTTAGTTAGTTAGTTAGTTAGTTAGTTAGTTAGTTAGTTAGTTAGTTAGTTAGTTAGTTAGTTAGTTAGTTAGTTAGTTAGTTAGTTAGTTAGTTAGTTAGTTAGTTAGTTAGTTAGTTAGTTAGTTAGTTAGTTAGTTAGTTAGTTAGTTAGTTAGTTAGTTAGTTAGTTAGTTAGTTAGTTAGTTAGTTAGTTAGTTAGTTAGTTAGTTAGTTAGTTAGTTAGTTAGTTAGTTAGTTAGTTAGTTAGTTAGTTAGTTAGTTAATCCACCTTTCTGCATCCCATCGAAAATCTAGGATTTCAATAAGACAACCAGCATTCACTCACCTGCAGGCTAAACTTTATTTTATGATATAGTCTCTGAAGTGTCTCCTAGGCCATCTTATCATGAACTGAGATCAAAGAGTGTGTGGCGAGAGCTGGTTGGAAGCTAAAATTGTAGACAACACTTTACGTCATTGTTCACATCCCGAGTCAGGGTCATAGGAAAAAAACAACAACAAAGCTCAAGCTTGAGAAAATCACCAGCGAATCACAGTGGAGTTAAAGTGTGGTCTGTCTGTCTGGATTCAACATAGAACTTGGCACCGAACTGCAGCAGTTCGAGTTGCCACGTTGCAAGTAGCACACAAAGGTAGACAACAAGATGAGTGAAGAGAATCAATAGAGTTTGAGAAGTGTATGAGTACGCACCCACCGGAGTCCAAGCTTTACAGTGGTTCTCTAACTGATGTCAGCTCATGATGAAATCCTCCATCCAATCAAACAAAAATCCCTACAAAACCAATACTTGAATATATGGTGCTATTTAGGTAGAAACAGCCGTCTAAACTGCCGTGAAATATCTAGTTAGCCAACTAGTCTAATGACGAATGGACATTCATTCACCTGATAGTCGAACATTAGCTGTGATGGCTTAGGAAATATGATGAACTGGCGTCCAGTTGGTTGACTTAGACTATTTGGTAGACAGATGGCCTAGGAATTCATAGACGATTGGTTTAGAACTTACCTTGAACCAAAAGGTTCATTTCACCTTTGGTTGTTACCAATGGCATCAGACCTAATTTAGTAGTAAAACATAAAAAATAGATACATCGTTTCAACTACAGGCCGACGGAAGTGATGAGGATATCAAAACGAGGATTAGAAAAGCAAGGCAAGTTTTCATCACTCTCAAGTCTGTGTGGAGGTCAATACTCAGCGCTCAGCATGAAAAATGAGATCCGGATATTCATCTCCAATGTGAAGTCAGTGCTACTCACTATACGGATCAGAGACTTGGTGCCGCAACTTGGAACAGACTACAGACGTCGATCAACAACTGTCGTCGCTCAATACATCACTCAAGATCTGATAGCCGGCCAGAAAAGATCAACAACAGGGATCTCTGGCCATGAACGAACCAACCCGACAGGAACCAATTGTGCAAGAAATATACAGGAAGAAATGGAGGTAGATTAGTCATACTCTGAGAAAACAAACCACCAAGTGAGTGACATCACACCCGAGGTCATTCCACGAGTGGGACCCGAATGGGAAGCGGTGAGTTAATTGGTCTTCAGTGCTAGGGTGACATAGAGGAGGTGATGTGAGGAGGAGATGAAAGCATATGGGCAGACGTGGAGCCAGGTAACAAAAACATTGGTAGAGAACCTAATTCAATGAAGATGTGTAGCTGAATCCCTATGTTCCTCTAGGAACTAAAGGAAAAAATAATAATAATGACATAAAAATTTAACTCCATACAAATCGCATAATTTCAAATCATTTTCAATCAAAATGTGAAGTGCTGAACATTAAAAAAAGGAATAACTCATTGAATAAACAACATTTTTGACTGGTGCTATCTTTACACCGTTTTTTACAACGACATATTCACACACATACACAACAACGAGGAAAAATACGTCTAACTAACTAACTAACTAACTCTCTAATGAACTAACATGATTGAATTTCAACATGTACTACCTACTACTTACTCACTCGCTTGTATCAGTAGTATTTAATTACAATTTCAGTAATAATTACAAAGATCATGTAAACAATAGTTGTGACTCATTATTATTCATTTATTCAGTAAAATTTTCTTCAATGATTAATTCTTCTAATTCATTATTATCATTTGTTTGTTTGATTGACAATTCATTGCTTTCAAATAAATGCGGTGAATATTTAGTATCCAATTGTTTTAATGTATCAGCTGTAGTAGTTAAGTCTAGCGCGGAAACTTCAAATCCACCGGTACTGTTCAAGTGATTATTTGAATTTCGTGTTTCTGATTCTGTTCTAATTCTGTGTACAATTTCTTCTGAATAATAATAATCATTATTATTACTGTTCAGTGCAGATGGCGATAACAGCAAATTATTTTCATCGATTTCTAAATACACTGAATCATGATGATTTATTTTAGGCGGTTTATTAATTGACTTTTCAATATTCAATTGTGAACCACTTCTTGACATTTCTGTATTGTTGTTTATCTCTGTTGTCATAGTAATGTTAGTTGGTGTTGATTGTGGTGATAATGCATCAATATGTCCATCAATTGTCGATAGAGGATAGTCATCAATTTGACAATGGAGCAGGCAATCGTGTTTTGATTTATTATCTGTACTACTATTATTACTAATAATTCTATGCTTATCACTATTACTATCTGAATAGAATGGTTGACACGGTAAACAGTATTCCACAGGTTTACTGTTATTTAGTAAAACATTCACCTATAGTGATGTGATAAGCAAAATTTACAAAAATGTATGAAGAATGAGGAGAATGGATGTTTGTACAAGAAAGGTTTGTTTAGTTATAAAAAGGACTTAGTTCGAGTTAAATTTTGGAAAGGACTATTTAATAGAATCAATAATTCCATCTGTTTACAATTTCAGTTTCATTATTGCTGTAAATGAGGCCTCCTGTGATCGATTGCCTCCATCCATCTTATATCATCAAATCAATATTTAAGTATTATTCTCATAGAAGGGTTGGACTGATTTCAAGTCCAACCGCGAAATGTGATATCATTTAGACGGCCATTCAAAACCATATGTTTCGTCCCAGTTTCAAGCTCTTCACCAATGGGAACCGATGAGGCTGATGGGGTCAAAACCAATAGACTACCCTTGTAACCTGAAGGTGCTGCAGCAGACCGCCGGTAGCTGCAGTTATCGGTGCGCTCTGCTGAAGAATGTGACGGAACTTCAGTACTTTCTGGCTTTCCAATGGTTCTCTAAATGATATCACTCAATGGTCAAACTTAGAATCATTCAATTAGCCTCAATCTACACTTCAGTATTCACTCGTCAGCCTATCAATAAGTGGCTTGTATTCGGAGGAAGAAATATACATCAGTGGAAGTACATACAAAAGAAATTTGAATCACTGTACATTGGTTGAAGAATTCTTGGAAAGCTATTAAAGAGTACTGAATGTTTACTTGCTCCTAGTTTGGGGCTTCACTTAGGCAGTACACATGAACCAGGATCCTAAGTAGAAACCGTCTTGTTACGAGGCGAGCACCGAGACCATTACCCGCTCACTGGGTCCCGACTGAATAGCTAGCCCATGCATTCTAACTTCTGACAATTCACGATACAGCGTGATCACTAACCAACGTCATTAATCAATCAAAATACCAATCTGATGCTAACTAGCAACTGGCTCAATCCAGGTAGGTAGTTACCTTGGTTCTAGTGAGAAATCTTCACCAGTGGTGTACAGTTGGTTGAGTGTGTGGATAAATACTTACCGATGGCATTGGTTAGTGGTTGTGCTGAATCGTGAATTGGTAGAAGTTGGAATGCATCATTTAGCCAGTGAATCGAGCCACAATGGCTGAATTGTCTGTGAGTTCGCCTAGTGAGTGTAAGATCGTGGGCTCCAACCCTGGTGGGTACATATCTCTAAATAGTCGCAAACTAGTATGATACAGTTGTCCAGTACACCCAGGTTGTTTTCCAGTGCTTCTATAACCTATGTCCGGTGATAAGGAAATCCTGTAATCAATCAAATCAAACCCCTGCAAACCAACACCTGAAAAATTTAAATTTATTCATAAATCCCCGACGGAAGTCACCTATCTCAGCAGCCTCAAAAAGGAACATATGAAAACATTAGACAGAAAGACTGAGGTAATGATAGCTCTGAAGAAACCGTTATTTATTAAGTTACGATTTAATAGAGAGTAGACAGGTGAGATTTTGTTCGAAAGACTAGCCAGTAGTATCCGGAGAATTTTTACTCAATAAATCCACGAATGATTCAAACTCCAATGAAAGATAAGCTAAATAGTTTCAACACATCTATATGCATTTATCAATTCGACTGCTCCTGCAGAGATAGTTACATTAGGCGTACTCCTAGTAAGCTCAACCAACGTGTCACTACTCACCTCCCATTGTAATTTGGTGAAAAACAGAACATATATTATTCAAAGCTCCATTTTCCCGCATCCACTTTATAATGGTCACTTATAAGTGGCACAGTGGTTAAATGCTCGCCGATCACGCATGTGGACAAGGGTTTGATCCCCGGCCGATGCACTCCTGGCCTAATGCACTCCTGATAAAGAGGGAAGGTTGGACATGAGGCTAGCAACCCCAGCCCGTAAAATTAAACACCACTGCTACCGAAAATTTCAGCCTTTAGCTTGAAGCCACCCTATGTTCCATTGGGAACTTAAATGAATAAAAAAAAAGTAGCAGAGAAAACGAAGGCAATTAAGGTGGTTTGTCGTATCCCACCGAACCTTTTTAAATACATTCCGTATTTGTCTACTATAGATACCTGAAGTGATAGGCATTCGAACTGCTAAACCTAAACGATGCATTCAAAGGAAGTTTTGTAAAGCAATTATCTATCCCTTGGTAAATGAAGACCTAACCATATGACGATATCAAAATTGCATTGTATTTTTATTTTTAATCCCTAAATCTTATCACAGCTTCATGATAACATTGTTTATTTTACTTTTCTTACAATCTAGCTGTACCTAATCGAACTATTGGTTTCTTTTTCTTGGTCATTTATCAATCACTACATCTGTGTGAACATTTGTTGGTTTAATTATGCTGCTTCTTATTTATTCCTGTGGAAGTCACTGACCACGACTTCTCACTAGAAGTTCAAACAGTATCTTCCTTTAGTCAAACACTAATAAGTATCTATAGTTTGGTTTGTAAGGATTAGTTTTGTTTATTTACGAGTTGATCACGGGTTATTATCGGTTAGAGAACCATTGAAAACCAGCACTGGAGTACTGGATAGCTGCTGTTTCATCCCACTAGTTTGAGAATCATTGGCAGAACGCACCCACATCGTAGGATGTGAACCCAGGACCTCCCGGTTACAAGGCAAGCTGGCTCGTATACCATTCAATCACTGGGAGTTGTTTCACTGACCAGTCTATAAATTATAACTTCTACCAATTCGTGCGTACTGCCGATGATTCTCAAACTAAGAGGAAACAACTGTCCGCTCCTCCAGTGCTGGTTTTCAATGGTTCTCTAACTGATGTCAATCCGTGATCAACTCGTAAAAACTAATAAGGATTCTAAAAACTAATATGAACAAATGGAAAGAGAGACTTATGTAACAAAATCTATATTCATTAGGGTCACAGTGGATACAAGGGTGACTCAGCAGCACAACTGTCAACAACCTACAATATAATTCTGAATACACAAAAATCAATGAACAAAAATGAAAGTGAATTGTATATATCAGTACAAATGAGAATTGTGTAAATTAAAACACAAACCAATTCCAACAGTTGGTGTGTGTTCACGAATAGTAGTAATTTTCCTCGAAATATTACCAAAACACAACAAAAAAACTTATCATTGTGTGTAAACCATTGATATATAATTATACTTTATTTCATCTATTCCACAATGCTTAAACTTTTTACTGACATTAACTAAGCTTATATGCTTCAAGTAATAGTTTGCAGAGATTTGATCCTTCTCAGGACTTCATCATAAACTGATATCGGTTAGAAGACCATTGGAAAACCATTAAAGAATACTGGACAGCTGTCCCCTCCTAGTCTGACACTCTACCTCAGCAAAACGTTTCCACCGCAGTTCGAACCAGGCGGTTTAATGATCTTCGAGCTCACCTTGTAAGTAGGAGGTCCCGGTGTCGTACTCTGGTGGGTGACTACTACTGAAGCGGTGTCCCACACTAAGATGAAACAGCTGTCCACTATTTCTTAATGGTTTGCTAATTGTTCTCTAACCGATACCATCTGATTATGAAAGCCTATATGAAACGTATGTCTTCAAAAGACTCGCTTAAATAACACTAAAACTGTTTAATGTCTCTCCTATCCATGAAAGTGCATCTTACCTGAATACTCTACATTTGAATACACTCCAGTTATATTTTGTAAAAGTATACATAAAAGATAAACAATAAATAACTATGGCACGACAGTAATATTGATAATATTCATTACAAAACCCATGTACAAAAGACTAGGAAATAATTCTTATGTATCTGTTAACAAGAAACCTATATATAAATGTATATATTTTGAAAGAGAAAGAAAGACCAGATTTGCAGTATAAAATGATATCATTCTATTTCACAGGTTCTCATCAGCTGCAAACTACCTGAAATTACAATGGTTATAAATAATAACATTTCATACTTCATTGTTTGAAAGGTAATAGAGAAAACAGCAGATTCATTGAAGCCAATTCGACAAAACTTTTCAAGTCACAGCTTGGATGATACCTTCCAATTTTCTAAAGAAGTCGATCACGTTGACATATCAGATAAACTGATGGTGTCATACGACGTGACTGCCTTATTCACAAATGTACCAGTGATGGAAACAATAGATATCATTTGTAAGCAAAGAGATCTATTGCCGCTACCGGAGTCAGAGATGAAACGGCTACTAATTCTTTGCACAAAAGACATCCAATTTAGATTCAATAACCAATTTTACCGACAAATTGACGGGGTCGCCATGGGTTCACCCCTAGGACCCATTCTAGCAGACATATTCATGGGCTACCTCGAACAGACAAGACTGAGTGACGCTATTAATGGAACAACATACTACCGCCGATACGTCGATGATACTTTTGTTGTTTGTAACGACATGAGTCATGCATCCGTAATATTTGACCGCCTAAATGAGGTCCACCCAAACATTAAATTCACCATGGAATACGAACACAACGATGAGTTTAATTTCCTGGACCTAAATGTAAAAAGAAGAAACGATGGAACGGTCGAAAAGTCCATCTACAGGAAAGAAACTTGGACCGGACAATACCTTCATTATAACAGCTTCTGCCCTATGAGCTACAAGCGGGGATTAGTGAGAACACTTTACGACAGGGCCAGAAAGTTATGTTCGCCTAACAAAGTAGAAGAAGAATTAAGCTTTGTCGAAAAATGCCTTAAAGAAAACGGGTATCCAAAAGGATTTATCCTAAAGTACAGCAAAGAAAGAGATGAGAAAGAGAAATCTCCAACAGTTGAGAAGAAGAAAGTGTTCATTTGCCTCCCATACAAAGGAGAAACCGTATCGCAAAAGATTGAAAAGAGGATGAAGGGAGCAATAAAGAGATGCTTCCCTGCAGCCAATTTGGTGACACTATACAGCACTACATGCTCTATAAGGCAATCGAAACTGGATAAGTACCCTGCTGATGTTACCTCCAACTGCATTTATAAATTTACGTGTACCTGCGGCAGCAAGTACATTGGAAGGACAGAAAGAAGGGCTTCTATTCGCTGTTTTCAGAGCATATTCCAAGAAACTTATGCCTAAAAGGAAGCAGATATTTACAAAGTGCAATTACCAGACACCTTGTGGATACGGGTCATTTTGTCGAGATTTCCAAATCCTTCAAAATATTAAACATACAAAGGACAGCGAATCTACTACGATTTGCTGAAGCAATTGCAATCAAACGTCACAGACCAAACTTATGCATACAGAAAGAGAATGTGGTCAATCTCTCACTCCCTTGGTAACCATATCACTTTCATTACACTGATTAGTCATACACACTAGTGAGCTCAGCTCACTAAGCAAGTTTTCAAATTGATGAACCTTGACCTTCTTGAGTTGCTATGTTGACACTGTTTATTAGATTTTTCTGTTTTCTGTCTTCTCTCACCCCCCCTTTTTTTTCTTCTTTCATAGTTTGGCAGTATATAAATTGATGGTGATTGACTTAGATTATAATACTTATATTCCAGATGCGTTCACCTTATAATGTTTTCTCTATTACCTTTCAAACAATGAAGTATGAAATGTTATTATTTATAACCATTATAATTTCAGGTAGTTTGCAGCTGATGAGAACCTGTGAAATAGAATGATATCATTTTATACTGCAAATCTGGTCTTTCTTTCTCTATCAAAATTTATCAAGGGAACCAAATGTATGAAATATATATATATATATATATATATATATATATATATATGCATCAAGAATAATTTTGGAATTATTTTTAACTATAACATTCGTTTCAAGATTTCATCACGAACTGACACCAGGCAGAGAACCATTGGAAAACCACTAAAGAGTACTGGAGAGCCGTTTCCTTCTAGTTTAGCACTCCACTTCAGCAATACGCATCCAACGGTATTTGAACTCGGTGAGTTAATGGTCTATGAGTTCGCGCCGTTACTGGCAGGTCGCGCTGAAGCCCAGTTCCAGACTCGTTTGTGGCTTTCCACTGCTTCTCTAACCGATATCAGCTCATGAGGAAATTCTGTAATCAAGCGAATCTAATCAAATCCCGGTAAACCGACACTCAAATAACTTTGGTGCTTCTCTTAAATACCGTGGAATCAGTAATATCCACAGATTACAGTTAGAAAGCATCTGTAAGCGACAGAGCATATTCTTCATTCAGATTGACTTTTAATTCATGATATTATACATAAACTGAATATCAGAAAAATTAAGAGAAATAATAGAGAAGTTAGGAATTTATAGATTCTACAACAAGTCATGGAAGCATTATTGGCTGAACCTGTTTCTTTTGCGCACAGTACTCCGGTTGTTGTAAGCAAATTGAAGTTTAGCTTCTGCTGTTTGGCGAGTAACAATTTATTGAGTAATTGATGAATGATAGAGAAGGAATCTTCATTACTAATTTTGTGGCTTATTTACACGAGGTGGTTCCAGCAACAACACGTTAGTTTAATTCACTTATAGGCTTTACCATCGACTTATACACATATATATATATATACCTGCAATTCTGAAGTAATTTACCAAGTGAAATAATAACCAACGCGTTGACAAAATCGATTCAAATAACCTTCAATACCGATAAACTGAAGCTGATATTTTCCTCATGATTGAATGTGTTATTCATCAAGCGAAAGACGAAGTACCTAAGCTAGCAGCCACCTCTCCTTACACATATCAATTCAAATGCTCTTTTGGAGTGAGTTACATTTGACATTGCTCTAGATACTTGGTTTTTCGTGCTGGGGAACACCTACCATTGTGATTAAACAAATTTGTAGTCAACTGGTCAATGGTAACTAGCAGTGGAATTCAGCTTGATGTGTATTTCGTCCTGTTTGGGATTAACTCGGTAGCTGGATGTGCCTCCATTCCCCAGTGAATGATGGTGTTCCAACCGAAACTGCACTCCAGTGCCCATAGTTTCAAACGCCAAATTGTTATCCACTAGACCACTTGGATTACCGGATCCACCTGTGATGAAACGGGTCTTGTTAATTATTTAAATCAATTTAGATTTTCCGTCGACTGGTTTGCGCCGTAGTGCTGGATCTCACGTTGCCATAGAGATGAGGAGTCCCAAATAGGACGAAATGAACATCAAGTTGGATTCCATTGCTAGTCACTATCCACCAAGTGACTTCAAGTTACATGACCAGACATATTTGAAGCATTTGCACCAGGAGACCACATGTCAACGTGAAACCGAGAACTTCGAAACGAATGTTATTGTTAACAATAATTCCCAAAATAATTCTGGATGCATATAAATGTAGAACCTGATGAAGAGGAAGTTATCGTAAGGAATATTCCTTGTTCATTATTAATCAGTCTTTTAGAAATCCTACTGGTTATCTTTAGTCAATATAAAGACTCTTCAAAAAGGAAATATTTCTCCCTCTTACCTTGGGCTCATCTGATGAAGAATTTACGACATCTGCATCACCCGAGACAGATACCGGTGCTACTGTTTTCACTTTATTATCACCGTCATTAACAGCCTGATTATCGATCCCTTCGTGTTGATTGTCATCTTTGCCAATTACTTCATTGGCATCAGTTTCGTTAACCTCTGCCGTTTTAGGCGATCCTTCAACTTCGACATTGTTTAATGTCACTTCAGTTGTTGTTGTTGCTGCTGCTGGTTGTGATGGTGCTATTGTTTCAGAGAGATTTGCATTATTCTCACTTTCAGAAGGTGTTGCCGTAGCTAAGGAAATCAGTAAAACACAGAAAAGTGAGAACCATACTGAAGGTGTGTCAACGAAATCTGATGCCTGAAATAATAAACTTGAAAAAAGGATAGATAAAGCTATGCTTGAAATTTAAGAAAAACGTTTTCAGTAAACAATATTGTTTCCAATAAATTCCTCTTCCTACATTACAGTTCCGACTGAAAGTTAGGGTTTCAGCAGTAAGCCTCTACTTTGTTCTTTCCTCTGTGGTTCTTATTAGCTGGTCCCACGATCGCTCATAGTCTCTTATCTCTTCCTCATACGATCTCCTCCATACCGACCCCGGAGCCAAACCCCACTCGTCTTTTCCTACACTCGAACTATGACCTGGCGTGCGATATCCTTCGACCATCTCCTCAGTGCGCAGACAATCATCTCCACATATACGCATATGTATAATATTGTAGAACAATCGTCATTAGGAAAGCAGATTTTTAAAAAATAATATCTACATCATCAGCTCAATGGAATTAAAATTGAAGAAAGATGCTCACATCATTATAATAATAATTATTATTATTCCCTTGGGTTCCTAGTGGAACATTGGGCTTCAACATAGGGCACGTTTCCACATGCTTCTGTCTTCTGCTGTACTTTTCACCTGCATCCATGTTAGTCCATACTGTTTCAAGTCCTCTTCACACGATCTCCTACATGTCACCCTTGAACTCGTCACCCACTTGCCTCTTCTCTTTCAGGTTCCAATCGAGCAATGGCCTGACGCGCGCGCGATGTCACCCAGCGGTCTCCTCAGCGCATGTCCAATCCATCTCCACTGTCTCCTGCATATTTATTGGTTGGCGATTGGTTCTTGTTTTGTTTGTTCCCGTAGTTTCTTGCTGGTGATTCTTTCCGGCCTGTCCATCTGATCTTCAGTATAGACCGAGGACAGTTGTTGATGAAGGTCTGCAACCTGCTGCTGCTGCCCAAGTCATTAGAAGCATTAAAAATGTAGTACTAAATAAAGTCTTCTTCACTACTTCAACACTATGGCGTACCTCAAGTGTTTATCAACTTCATTCAACAGCTGTCTGGCTATATGACAATGCCATGTGTCAAGTAAACTACAACGGAAAACTCAGCGAGGCATACAGAAGTAACACAAGGCTGTCTGGCTATTATCAGCGATGATATTCTTAATTGTGGTGGACTGGATTATCCGTCAGACTTTGTATTGGGAGCGAGGAGTCAGGAATACGCTAGACGATCAATAGGAAGACTCTAGAAGATCTGGATTTCACCCGTGGATGATGTATGTCTAATGTCTTCTGCATTGACTCAATATAAGGAACAAGATTCGGATTTTCAACACCAATACCAAGTCGTTCCTTCTATACAAGTCAGAAACTTGGCCAGTGTGTGACAAAAAGGATTTCCAACAGGCTACTGCAGACTTTCAACAACAGCTACCACCTTCACTGGCTTGCTCCATACTGAAGATCAACAAGAAACTCTAGTGTAACAACAGAAGACAAGGGCTAGGCAACAGATCGTTTTATTATCAAAATCAACACGTATTTATACATCTTTCAACTACATTATTATAGACAAGCGCAGTCATCTGATTGGTTGTTTAGGTAGACAAACGCAGGCTTCTGATTGGTTGTTTCGGGATTCCTTGACAAATAGAGTTCTCTATCTGCGAATCATATTTTGCCACGTTAACTTTGCTGTGATTGGTTGTTGACTCAGGCTTGTTCACGGCCCATATTAGTGACCTAGACCTTAACGTAGATTAGTGCCAACCAATCGGCTAGCAGCCTGCTCTCACCACACTAGGAATAAACCAACCAAGAGCTGATCGCTCAACAGATATGTAGGAGAAAGTGGAGATGGACCTGGCATACATTGAAGAGACCACTGGATGACATCTCAAGCAATAGAGGCCATTTCTCAAGTGAAATCCAAATGGGAAGCAACGAGTCGGTCGTCGATGCGAGGATGACATGGAGAAGATAGTGTGTGGAAGAGATAAGAGAGTTTGCCCAATCTTGGACCCCGCTGAAGACGACGGCAGAAAACAGAACAAAGTGGAGATGTATTGTTGAAGCCCTATGTTCTACTGGGAACCTAAGAGAATAATAATACTCAATAGAGCATCAGATAAAGTTCAAAATCATATTTATGCGGCAAATTAAGGGTGGTTTATACACTGATAGTCAAGTTAAGGAAAGTGTCTGAACCAAATTCTTTTAAATACATAAGTTAGGCGTTTTAACGCGGATTCTGAGGGCTTCGACAGCATGCAACAGAAAAAAGCGTAAGATAAGATTAGGATTAGCCGGTATAAGATAGATAACTTTATTTATTTTTTATTTTATTTTGATTTACAGCTTGATTCCACACTGTATTTTCGGTACAAGTATGGAATTTTCAGCATGGATATCGGTAGCCCAAATTTTGCAGGCCCAGCATAGGTATCAGATGTGTGTCGGTGCGGGCTCGAACCCCGGACCATGTGCATGGTCGGCGAGAGTCCTAACCACTGTGCCACCGACGTACATGAAGGGAGGACCGTGAGGCTTCCCCACTGACAAAAACTACACGCCCGAGCGCACCCGATTAGGGTCCGTCGCGAGTTTCAACCCACCGAGGTGCAATGGCGAGCCTCCACCCGGGGTCAGAGCATTCTTGATCACCCTGAACCCGGCTTTTTGACTGGATACTAGTCAGTAACCAGTGTAATATGTCTAGTCCTATATTTGGTGCAGACTGAATTCTATCAGTCAAGTTTGCAATATGGCCAACATGTCATTAGGTGGCTTGCCATCACAGTGAACTGTGAATTGTTGGTATCACACGCTTGAAGGCAATCGGCAGAAGGCCTTTGACTTTCATGCTAGTTGGTAGTCACCAGTCATCAAGGCGTATCTGAAACCCTGAAGGAACTCAGACTGATAGAATTCAGTCTACACCAAAGAGAGGACTAGACACATCACACTAGTTACTAGTGTCCAATCAGAGTATCCAATGCAGACAGTCTTACAAGAGGTCAGTCGCGAGTTCTAATAGGTCAGTAGTAACGTCTTTGTCTGCAGCACTGGGTGACATAGGTTCGAATCTCAGGAAGGACATAATTTCCCTCAAAGTTGCAGATACGTTTTGCTGACTGGTGATTGGTGACTAAAACGAAACCTAGGTCATACAAGACTTCCTGTGCTCCATTGACTCCAATCATCTTATATTAAAGAGCTGAAAATAAATCTTGACATTCCTTTGCTTAGTCACCCCGAATGGTGTTCGGAAATCCAATGATGAGCATGTCTAATTGTATACCCAATGTAACTGGCCTCATACAATTAGTCGTACCGATAGATATACACAGAAGAGGCAAAACTGCGTTATTATTTTACCGGTGTCATCAGTGAGGAACTAAAGTTGTAAGAATGTAATGATTGTCTCAGATCAACGTCAAAAAAGCTTGACAGCATTCCCAAATATATACAGATTTCAAATGACCATGAGAGGTGTTAATTCCATTGATAATTTAAAACAGCTAACAGCCATCAAAAAGAAGGGAGGTCAATACAAATATCGCGGTACTGTAAATAAAAATAGCAGTTTAAGGCTTAGAAAAAATGAAGTATATATGTAACAATTTTAAAACAATTTTCTTCATTAAAATATTTTTAAAATGATTGTTTTGAATTAATTTGGCTCTCAGAGCTGAGTCAGTCAATCCCAGTGCACCACTAATGAGCTGGATCTCAGACGAGAGAAACGGCCACCCACAGGCGTTTACATCAGTTCAGTCAGACAGGCAAGCACTACCCGCTAATATGAGTGGTATTCAATTACTTATTTCAACCGATCAGTAGTATATGGCTTTATGCCTTTTACGCTAGCTTTCTTGACTGCCATTCATGATATCAAGCAGATTACATATTGTGTATAATCTGAAGCTAATCCAAAGGTAATCATCGTAGTGAAATTTCGTCTCCATAACTGTGTACACCAAGAAAAATCCGAACAATTTGTAAATTATGGATTTGACATTTGATCCTTTAAAATGACAGTGGCTTGTAGTGACGTTGAGAAGGCGTTGATGGACCTGAATAACGGCACTCTCACTGACGTTAAAGGGTTATCCATTAGTATTCAAGTGATGGTTTGTAGGGATTTGATTGGTTTCAGGATTTCATCATGAGCTGACATTAGTTAGAGAACCACTGGAAAACCTGAAGGAACTGCACAACTGTTTCATTCTAGTCTGGGACTCTTCAGCAGTACATACCCACTGAGATACTAACCCAGGACCTTCCGGTTACAAGCCTAGCGAGCTCGTATACCATTAAGCCACTGGGACCCGATCCAATGGTCCTTGAATTCTAACTTCTGCCAATTCACGACGAAGCGCGACCGCTGGCCAATGTCTTCGGCGAGTATTTGTCCTCACACCCGACCCGTTATCCATCAGCCAACCACACCATGAAGAATCACCTCTTGTAGAATCACTATCGCTTGTTATTCAATAAACTTATTAATAATATTATTGTTTGTCAATGTAGCTGAAGATTGAACGATCAATTCATAGTTGTTTGATCAAACCCAACTCCATATTTTTCGCGGGAGTTATCAATACGGTAGTCATCGTCTCATCGTTCGCTGCTCGTTGGAAGAGAGAAAACTATCAGAAGTATTGTTATGATTTATTGTTATAACATTTATTCTGAGACTTTGTGTACAATAACCTAATGGTTGGCTCTGTATTGGTGCAAGAATAAACGGTTCTTGAGTTCCCAACTTGCGTTCTGGTTTTTCGTGTTAGTTATTACGCATAGTTTCTGAAAGTCTTCCAAGGACAGCGTGAGGTTCAGTGTAGTAAGACCTGGTGATTGACATTATTTTAATAGTGTGAAATATTCCCATATCATAATGAATTAAAGGGGTCAATCTGAACGAAGAATATTCTTTCCAATAATTTCTCCTTTTCAGGTTCTTACAATTATAAAATCAAATATTGGTTGTCGTTACA